CTAGCAGGGATTGTTGTGTTTAGGTTTTTACACTGACTCCTTTGAGTTTCCATTTCCTCTCTGACTGTATATCAATTCCTCTCTACTTTGACCTCCTCTAGTAAAATAGCAATACTATTTGAATGGATAAAGTAATGTTTAAACGTTTAATGAAATATTATTTAATGGGTGCCTGGGATTTAGCTCAGCCGGCAGAAGCACCTGCCTGAGAAGTGCTAGGTTGTGAGTTTGATCCCTGGTACCTAAAAAAAAAGTGTTTTAAACTGCAATGAAAGAAAATAATTTCATTGAAGATGTAGATTAACAAGATTTTTAATTAAATATGTCAATGGCAAATTAAGCATTGATAATAATCATATTTAGAATCCAAAGATGTTAGGCTGCATATTGAGCTCAGTGGTCAAAGCACCTGCCTGGCAAGCACAAGGTCAGGAGTTCAATCTCTGGTACCAAAGAAAAATCTACAGTTGTCAACCCTGTAGTGCTATGAGCACAACTATTGAAATTGATAGTTGTTCATTAAAAAGCTCAATGTTTCTTTTGTTGTCTATGAAGTACCTACAAATAACATGGTAACAGTGAATAATACACTGTGCACTATACCATTGCTACTTGCTAGGAGCTGCTCTTATTTTTCCCCATATAGTTGAAAGATGAAAATGACTGGTGATGATAAAGAAACTGTGATAATAATTTTTTCAATTTTATTGGATATTTCACTACATCCACTAAGTACATTGTATTTGCTACAATTATGTTAAGTGAAATAAATAAATAATTCTTAATGTTACAGGCAGCTGTGTTAGTCAGAAATATAGGCAGTCAGATAGTTATATAATGGAATGAAACTCCTGACCTACTATGTCTGGTAGGTGTTTGTGTTCTATAAAATAGAAGAATGAATTTTAGGAGGTAAAGAGCAGAATATACTACTGAGAGAAAAAAGTGAAAGGTTTTTGCTCTAGATAGGATATTACCACAGTCGGAAGCAGGCCAGGGGTCATTTACCCTGAGGTCACTTACCTCTCCCTTAGGCAACTTACCTGTGGCATGAAAAGAGTCCCAATCAGCTACTGGCACATCAGCAATGACAGCTTTAAGCACCTCCACAGTCAAAAAGTAGATATAAGCCCCCTCACCATGTATCCAGTAGAAAAAGGCCGACATCTAGTGGTCATGTGATCCACCTTCTTAGAATAAAGGCCATTTTTACTTTATATTCTCTCATTTTACCACAGTGAAAACCCTATCAGAAAGCTTCTGTCCGAGAAAGCAGGAAGGGTCATAAGTGGGTTGTCAAGGACTCTGTATCTTCTAAGGACTTTATAGAATAAAATCATGGGGTGAGATGGGCTTGAGGTGGGGGAAATTGGGAACTCACAAGGCAGATGGGCATAACTTTGGACAGAGCTATGTTTAGCCAATATAATTAATAGTTCAGGCAAAATCATTTACACTGCAGACAAATGGGGAAGCGAGGTCATAGAAATCAGGCATTTTACAGAGCAGTAATTCTCCTCTATGGGATTGGGGGGATGACGCCTGACTTCAGCAGTGTGACAGGGAACAATTTAGAAAACCGACTTTTAGAACATGGATGCATTTGCTTGGTATTTTCTCTTGAGGCCTGTCCCATAACAGGAGGTATCTGTCTTCACATAGCTGCAAGGTATGTGGGCTTCTGAGCTGGCTACATCTAGGACCTGATCCTGTCTCCCTGGCTATATATTTCTAACTAACTCAGCTGCCTATAACAACAAGGCTTGCCCCTCAAAGGAGCTAGAAAATAAATTCAGATTGCTTGCAGGATTGAAAGAGACAATCACCTCCTGCTGTGGGCCAAATCTCAAAACAAAAGGTAAATTAAATAAAACCAAGTGCTAAGGAGCAACAGTCCAAATAGTTCTCTGATCACCCTGAGGAACTCAAGAGCCCCCATCCCAACCCTCTAAAAGAAGAGTCTCTGCTCTTAAATCTGCCCACTTACTATGACTTGCTCTCCCATTTGCTCCCAATTTAATCAATTTTACTTGAGCAATTAACCTTATTGGTTGACCACAGTTCTATCCCACCTTATGCTTAACTTTCAGATTCCCATTTTTCCCTCCCCTGGACCCATCTAACCCCATGATTTAACTCTATACAAGTTTCTCAAAAAGACTCTTTAGCAACCCACTCAGAACTTTCCTGTCTCTCAGACAGAAGCTTTCCTTCTCCCAATAAATATATTCCACTCTTAAACTCCATCATTCCTAAAATTCATTCTTCAAATTTAGAGAGCACAAACTCATACTGGATATATAGTAGGTAAGGATTTTCATTCCCCTATACTATTAACATGAACCAAATTAACATGACTATACTTTTATAATGTCTGAAATTTGTTCCTTTTCCTGCAGTTTCAAGTGATTAATACAATTCCCAGTGATTATAGTCCTGGCAATATCTAAAATTGTATACAACAATCATTATAAGTGTAAAATAATTGCTTTGATTGTATTATTTAGCAAGACATAGACTTTGCCATGGCACTAGTTTATATCTTACAAAAGAGAAGGTTCACCTATAATTGTTCAGAAAAATTTCTACATTATTGGCTGATTGAACAATTTTTAATTAGATAAACTGTATTTTTTCAGTTTCTAGAAGACTTCTATTATATTATTGAAATCTGTCTGTAGGCCTCTTGGACCCTGGCTATATATATTTTGATGAATAATTCTGTTTTGAAACTTGTATGAAGATGTATTTTTATCTTAGGATTAAATTCACTGCATTGACACTGATAGAGTGAAGCAAAAGCCCACTGCATTAATTTCCATTGGATACTCATGGCATTGAGCATGTGAATTACTGAAGAGGTAGATTAGACAAGAATAGACAAGAATCAGTACTGTTAGGATTTTGTGGCCCAATAGAGAAGCCCAATGATAGGATTATTTCCAAAAGATGAGAAATATAAAACAAAAAGAGGCCTTCATTCTGAGAACATGAAGAGAGATGTCTGGCACCCCCCCCACCCCCACTGCTGGAGTCCAGTGATCTCTCTGGCGGATATGTGGGATGGAGGTGTGTAAGTAGCCTCGGTTTTGGGTGGAACCTAAGGAGGGCGTTAGGGATGCACAGGTAGCCGACTGGTCATAGATTTGGCACCATAGGTAAATTTCCAGGTGCAGGAAGATGACATCACAGGTAAATTCCTAGGGGTGGGGGAGATAGGGTCTTCCTGCTTCTGGTTGAGGCTTTCCCAGCTACAGAGTCCTGTCTGGGCCAAAACCCTTTCACAGAATATAAGAAAAAGTAGCAGTGTCCTTTCTATTTAAAGGATGTGGAGAGGAGCCTCAAGCCACCAATGGTTTGCCTTTTTTTCTGATGGATTATGGGATTATAGGGTATATCTGAAATTTGGTGGTGCTGGCACTGACATTGATATCATGTAAGGAGCTGATTGGAATTTTCTTTTGGCCCCTGGGAAAGGAATGAGGAAGTTGTATTCAGGGAAAAATGAGGAAGTAGCCATATGGGTAAGCATCCCTGATTTGATCTTTCACCCTGATGAACTACCACCATGATGTCCTGTAATTTATTCTAGAGCAAAACTCTTTAAAGTACACCCTTCAGTTTAAATTAAGGAATGAAAATAAAGAATTTTTGCTATGTGTCTTCTCCCATGGTTAGTGATAAACAATTCATAAGGAAAATTTCCAGTCACTTCCTTAATGCACTGTAGATAGCATAAACAAAACTACAGATCAGTTCACATTCAGAAAACAGAAGCAGAACTAAAAGGCAGGAATAAAGCCTTTCAATGCAAATGTCCCTTAAGAGGTGAGATCAACATTTAAGAATACAACCATTTACTGATTTCTCTGACTTCAAGAAAGAGAAAAATTTACACAGTTATTGTTATAGGGTAATGAAACTCAAGGTCTACTATGTCTGGTATGAGTTTGTGTTCTCTGAAGTCAAAAAATGAATTTTAGAAAAAACAGAAGTCCAGATAATATAATTATTGGAAGAAAGAAAGCTGTGTGAGAGAGAGCAAATGTGTCCTGACTGGGTGGGCAAAGACTATTTTCCAAGGACTTTAAGTGAAATCATGTGGTGAGATGCTTTGACGGGTGGGAAAATTGGGAACTCACAATGCAGATGGGCAAATGATGGGACAGAGCTATGGTAGCCAATAAGATAAATAGTTCAGGTAAAGTTGATTAAATTGAGAACAAAAGGGGAAGGGAGTCACATAGGAAGCAGGCATTGTTAGGCAGCAGTGAATCTTCCCTTAGGGGTTTGGGAGGGTGACTACTGAGGTCATCAGGATGATAGGAACTATTTAAAATGTCAGTCTTTATAAGGATACATTTCTTTGAATGGTGACTCCTGACTTCCTCATCGTGCTAGGGAACTATTTAGAATATCAGTCCTTAGCATATGGATGAATTTGTTGATATTCTGTCTTGAGGCTTAGCCCATAGCAGGAGTTGTCCATCTTCTCCATAGTTGCAAGGTATCTGGGTTTCTGGATGGGCTCCTCAGAGGACCCAGCCCTGTCTCATTGCTAATCATAATTAACTAACTCAGCTCCACATAGCAGTACTTTCAGGAAAATTGAATACAGATGTCTTGTGCTCTGGGTGAATGATCCGGGATGACAGTGTGCAACATATATACCAGTGTTGCCCCACAATTCATATGTTTTGAAATTTAGTTTTAGTTTATTTTTTCTTTTTATCCTTGAAATGAAATGGATTTGGAAATGAAAAGCCTGAGGTAAGGCACTTTGGTACACATATTCCTCTGTGTAGTTGAGATCAACACTGTTGAAGACAACCAGCTTCAGAAGTCTCTGATTACTTTCTACCGTTTGGGATCCTCTCTTGCAGGAAGGAGTTCCTTTCATTGTTTATTTTGGACAAAGAAAGAAGACAGTTGAGCAGCAGTCAATCAGTGATGAAGAGGCGGGCTATATGAAATGTCCAATCAGGTGAGCGGTGGCAGGAAGTCTCTTGGGTCTTTTCTGGTGTGTAGACATTTTTTACTTGTTTGGAATACAAAACTGGGAGCAGAATGTTTGCTGGATCTCATTTCCTGGTTTCAAAGTCCTGTGGCCTGATCAGCAAAGAATCTGGGAGACCCTCTAACCACGGAATGGTGAGGCTTTGGATTGGAGCCCATAAAAAGGGCAGAATTGGGAAAAAACAGTTACAAGTGGTTAGAAGCAGTTCTGGTGTCTGTAGACTCAGGTATTTAGTTAGTGTCAGCTCCTGAGCTCTTCTAGCATTGGCCTTGGGTCATCCACTTTCCCTTTTTCTCCTGCTGGGAACAAGGATGATTCTGTGTCCCCAGAACCCTGAATTAACTATGATAGCAACAGAATGGATTATCATCTTTGAAATTTTCTACTGTCCTGGCACCTCCATCATAAGGAGCAGAGTAAGGAGCTTGGGAAGGCCCTGACTCTGATGCATTGTGTAGCTGGAGCAGCAGTACTTAGCTTGGTCTCCGCTCTCATTCCAGGGATCAGCAATCTTGATGTTCTAAAGTTTGTTAATGTATGTAATGCAGGGCCTCATATCGCAATGGCACTCCTTATACCTGTACTATTTTGTATTTATAGGGATTGCCTAAATGTATGTTATGTTCTCACATTTCCAACCTCATGACAGATGTTGGCAAAATCAAGAGAATTCAGAGATGTGTAGTGATGTGCTTCAGTGGAGGAAGGCTTTCCAAACACCTGGTGAACTCCTGTGCAAAGAATTTCTGAACATACTTCATGTGACACATGTGCTCATAGACTATGTTTGTGAGAACAGCCATAGAGGTTTGAATTTTGAGGAAAAAAAGCAGATATAAAAGTGTCATCAAGGGCAGGGTAAAGGGTGCTTGCTAAGGACAACTTCTAGAAAGGGGTGCCTGTAAAATTCTCACTGAAAAATGCCTAAATGTAATCATTTGCATGAACATATAAATACATGATATCCTTCTGAATGGAAAGGAATATGGGTGTTATCTCTGAATTAAGAGCTAATCTAATAGCTTGGTTGATCATATACATTGTTTAAATATGGAAATGCTCTTTAATGGACTTTACTAATTCCTATAAAGGAGATACCCTAAATTGAAATTGTGCAGGGATATCAATAGTTTAGGCATGAAGGGTTTTCTGCTTAGGATGGATCACAGGAGCATGAAAAGGATGTGGAGGTGACCAGCAGGACACAGTGTGCAAATAACAGGACATACAACAGAGAGGGTCTTCCCTGAAAGTCAGGTAGTTCTTAGGGTAAGCATGAAGTTAAAGTTGAATTATGATATCTTCCTTGAGGTGAATAACACCAGCTCTGCTAACAATCGGTATTCCACATCCCTGTCAACCCATGAATTCTGTGTTCTTCACTTGAGATCTAACTTTGATTATCTCAAATTATGACCCAGTATCATGAAGGTGAAATTTCAATTTTTTTTTGTGCCAAAGATGGAACTCATGATCTCAAGCTTGCAAGTTAGGTTTTCATGCTGCTAGTTAAATACCCAGCTGTGAAAGTGTTTTCTGTATATTATGGATGATATCAACATTTTTCCTCAGAAAATGTTGAACATTGTGGAATTTCTCTATATTGTATGGCTAAATTTTTTAAAGCAAACCAAAAGTGTCTTATGCAGTCACTTTTCAAGTTTCACATTGTCTGTGGGGTGTCTCAGTCAGGGTTTCTCTATTTCAGTCAGCTCTGTAACTTAGGCTAGCCCCAAACTCAAGGAAGTTCTCCTGCATCAGCCTCCCAAGATAGATTTCTTCTATCTGAGTGGAAAGTAATCACTTGTTGACACTGAGGTATAATTTGAAGCTTGTACTTGGTTTCATTGTTTATATGTTTTTTACATACAGCAGTTTTCCATTAACATTTGAGTTATTATTTATGTACCATATTTGATGTTATTTATGTTTTGTTCTGTGAAACCAAATTGAAATCTCAAAATGCTGCTTAAGTATATTAAGAACAAAGGACTTAGTGGCCTAATTGAAATTTGAAGAGATATCATTGGTAGTACATCAGAGTGATTGATGAGATATTTGTCTGCCTCTGTGCTTTATGGATGCTGGGCCTATAGGTTCTCACTATAAGCTCTGCATTACAGACAGTGCACAGGGACTCTTGCAGTGACTCCGCACAAGAATCAGTGCTCCTATTTGGCTGTTACATTAGCTGTGAGTTGCAATATAGTATCAAATTTGCTGTCTCAAAAAATGTGTATATACAAAAAATTAATCCCCAAGATATGGAATTAAGATTTCAAGAAATCAGTCTCCATTCAGCTGTTTTGTTTGGTTTTATTTGTTTAGTTTAGTTTTGTTTTATTGAGACATGTTTTCTCTATGTATGTCAGCTAGATTTGAACCCCTTTTGGAGTGCAGAATTGCCCTAACCTCAAAGCAGCACTCCTGTGTCAGCCTCTTGAGTGCGGGGATTATAGATATGTGTGTTTTTACCCTAGAAAATTTTGAGGCTTGTAACTTAGCTGTGTTGTAGCTTGTCATAATAGATGCCATCTTGAGATTTGTGTTTAACTAGTACCCTGTATTTTACCCTGAAAAATGGAAAATCACTCAGGGTAGAAGTCCCAGGAGAAAAGCAAAATGAGCTGTACCCAAATAAAAAAATTGACCTGCTCAACAGAAGAAGCAGAATACAGTTGTCATCCAAAAATTATTATAAGATTCTAGCTAAATGATTTCCAACATGATCTTTTTGTGATTCTATCTTTTAAAACATCTGTAACTTTCCAGTTCAAAGCCTCTTGTTTAGATCTTGAAATGGGTGTGGGGGTTCTGTGTACAAGTAGTCCTGAGACCAGCTAATGAAATTCCACATTTCTCAAATGGGTTGCTTGGATTCCTGTATTGTTGTTCACAAACTCAACGCAAGCTTCAGAAACCTTTACTGACACAAGCAAACACCAGGATTAAATGACAGTGGCACTGAAATGAAAGAATAGTAGTTTAAAGGAGAGGAGAAAAAGACAAATGCCATGTGCTATAATGCCCACCTCTTTTCCCCAGCAATGAAGAGGCTGAAACAGGAGAATGGCCATGTATTCAAAGACAGCCTAACCTGCATAGTGAGTGCAAGGCTGGCCAGAACTCCAAAGTGACACTATGTCTTTAAAGCAAAAAACTAAAATGAAAATAATAAACAACCAAGGTGATAGAAAGACTATTTAAAAAAATCAATAATAGAGCTGAGTGAAAGTTGACTTATGCAAAATGGGAATTATTGAATGATGATGCAGAAGAAGGAAGGCCATGTAGTGGCATGCAGGAGGCAGTGACAAACACAGATTTAGGAATGACACTGAGAGAATCGACTCCCCGTTTGTAATGTAACACCCCCCCCCCCCCCCCCCGAGCTATAGAACAGAGCAGTAAGGAATGTTTCACTCCCTAAATCCTCCTTGAGATATCGGGGCAGGACAGGAAGGAATGCATCTGCTAGTCATTAACCACAAGGTGATCTGTCCTCTAACCACAAGGTGATCTGTCCTCTGTAAAGATAAAGATAAGTAAAGGAATGTGCTAGATTAGACCAGGACTCTCTGTCTCCATGGTTACTCAGCCCTAGATCCCTCGAATCAGCATCTGCCAAGTCCTGCGCCGTTCAAATTAACCAATGCGATCTGCTTCTGTAAACTTGCTTGCTTCCCGCTTGTGCCCTCAAAAACCCTGCACAAATTCCCCTCGTGGCGCTCCTCACTCGTTTGCCTGGAGGACCCCATGCGCATGGAAATAAACTTTTTTTTCCTCACCAAGAGTTGAGTCCTTGGGGTCTCTTTCCCTGCGGCGTCAGCCCTAACAACACCTATAATGCTACAGCACAACAGTGACCTCCTTTCTCCAATACATTTGCAGTTCACTAAATGGAGGACTTATAAAAGCTCATGGAAATGTTAAGCTCAAGGCAAACAAGCAGATTGAAATCCAGGCTTTGGAACATGGCCTTTAACAGACATTTCATATTTAGTTTGAAATAAGAGAAATATAATCCTGCCCTGTTTGATGTCAAATGCACCAAATTTAATGGCTCACAACTTTGAGAAGTGAAGAAGTTACAAACCAAAAGAAGATCAAAAATTTTCTTAGAAAAAAAGAGAGAAGAATATCCCTGGATTTTCAGGAGTGGTCTTCAGTGTTTTGGCCACAGACCTATTGTCAGGGGTCATTTATACAGGAAATTCACAATGTGGGTACAGTGTGTGTCTCAGACTACAATCAACCTATAAGCTTATAGCTGCTTAACTAATATTATTCATCAGGGGAACAAATCAGCCAGAAAAGGTATGTGGAAAGAGCCAAGGCATTTTGTGGCAACAATAGTCCAGTTGTTCTGGTCGTTGAGTTTGGTAATTGATGCCTATCTGAACTTCCTGGGGGAGGTTGTGGTAATTGCAGTACATTTCAAGCTGTTGTTTTTCTCTGCAGGAGTATGTAGACCTGGTCACTGCATCTTCATCTTCAGTTCTGGCTTTCTTCACCTGTGCCTGTAGCAGTGATTGTTGTATTAATTTTTGCATTGACTCTTTGAGGTTCCAGTTCCTCTCTGATTGTATATCAATTTCTCTCTGCATTGACATCCTGTGCTAAAAGTAGTATTTGAGTGAATTAACCGATGTTTATACATTTAAAAATATTCATTAATACAGGCCAGGGATTTAGCTCAACAGGCAGAAATGCCTGCCTGGAAAGTGCTAGGTTGTAACTTTGATCCTTGGTACCTAAAATAAAAATGTAATTTAAACTGCAAGGAAAGAAAATAATTTCATTTTTGAAAATGTAGGTTTACAAAATTTATAATTAAATGTGTCAATTGCAAATTAAACATTGTTAATAGTCATGTTTGGTATCTAAAGTTGTTTGGGCTGGGGATTGAGCTCAGTGATACAAGGAGCTGCCTAGAGAGCACAAGGTCATGAGTTCAATCCCTCATACAAAAAAAAATTCACAGTTGTCAACGATGCAGTGCTGTGAGCACATTTATTGAAACTTATGCTTGTTAATTAAGAGGCTCAATGTTTCTTTTTTGGTCTGTGAAATACCTGCAGATAACATGGTAATTACAGTGAATGATGTACTGTCCCCTAGAGGATTGCTATTT